TTTCGACTACTAGGCACATATTTAAATGTTATGCCAACATGTGCATGCGGCTCGTTTTTAAAACGTAGATAAGTTGTTGACGTTGACGATACATAGTTCAAGGACAACCCAGTTAAGGCGTGCCGATCAAGATGATTTTTAGCTGACCCGCATTATGAGTGCTATTCCCTCAAGACAAAGTTCAGTTGAAGCGGTGTAGTACGCAGTGGTTTGCAGAGGTGTCTGAGAGAAACGCAACTAATTCGAATTACACATTACTTCAGACACCTTTCTGACTAACAGGCACGAATCTGTAGGCCCGGGTGCGTCCATCCCGGTTAACAGCTTGCGTGAGGTGTGCGTGGTTGTAGGCTAGGGGAAATTCCATTGAAGGCGTCTCCATAATTATGAGATCTAAGGAAAAACATTGCAGCAGAGGTTCATGATGCTAAAAGGATTTGTGCCTGTTTTTGCTTGATGTGATAAAATCACGCGCGAAGACACAATGATCAATGAATATGAAGCAATAATGCTTAATGGAGGTCAATTTGATGTAAAGTTTTCTTCCACTAAAATCTGCTGGTACTTTGGATAAGTATATCATTCTTTTTAGCCATCGATCACTTCCCCATGGAGAGGAAAATAATTGGCGGCAAATAGCACTGCGTACTTGTTTACCACTTTTGTTACGTTCATTGTTTCTTTACCAAATTCGCAGGTAAAACCAGAGTAACCAGGAGCACAACTGCAGGTGAAATTTGTAGAAGAACTGGTGCAAGAGCCTCCGTTCATGCAGGGTTCACTGTCACAAGGCTCTGAGTGAAAATAGAATTATTGATTCAAGTCCAGACAGTTTGTAAGAACGAAAGGCAACATCGTGGTACAGAGTTAGCGGTAACAGTTACATCTGCACAATTTGAGCTCTAAAACCAGCAGTGCATGATTGCGCAAAATTATGCAAAAGTTAATGGCCAAACATCCAAGGACCAGAATGATAAATTCTGTTGATTACATTCCAGGTCGTTCACAGAAGAGAGATATATAATTCTACATAAACTCCCAACAGTCCCTACTCTGATATGCAGGTTTATTACTCTAATCTATCAGGCAATGGTTCTACGATTGATAAATGGGGGATGGGTAATGGGGTCAATCCACCAAAAAACAGCCACAGAAAAAGACAAAAGAAAGACGATTTGAGGTCCTTGATTCGCCTCCCTTCGGAAAGCAAGTAAATAAACAAACCAACATCTCAATTCAACCAAAGAGAGGCTAAAAAGGTTCAACCAATATTTGGTTGCCATAAAACGGTTTGACCCCAGAATTTAGTTAAGGATCCGCCTTTGCCCATTGGCAGAACACATTAAGTTATTCCC